CTCGAACTCACAGAGATCCGCCTGTCTCTGCCTCCCAAGTGTTGGGATTAAAGGTGTGCGCCACCACTGCCCATCTTTGCCTTTTCTTTTTAATTATATTTATTTGTTTATAGTTGTGTGTATGTGCGCCTGCGCCACAGTGCACATACGGAAATCAGAGGACAACTTTTGGAAGTTGGTCCCCTCCTTCCACCATATAGGCACCATATAGGTACTAGGGATGAAACTCAGTTGGTCCAGCTTCACCTGTACCATTGAACCCCGACACTGGCCCCTGACAGTCCATTTAAGAAATAACCAAAGCAGCCCCTCCATTCCTACCACAAAGTCTTGTTCTTTCTCAGCGTGCTAGAACTTAGCATATAATTCTAGATTTGTTATCTGTGTACACAGATGTTGGCCCCCCCCATGCTAAAATGTTGGCAGGTTCTGGTTTGCCTGTATTCCTAGGATGGCATCTAACATATGTGACATAGGTGGGTAGATGAATAAATGGACAGATGAGTAACTGTGAATTGAAGTCACTGCGGTTCATTACCTGAAGAGGGAGCCTGTGAGCGAGTTCTGGTGGGTTCCTGTCTATTGCTGAACCGGAATGAAGGGGCCTCGGCCGTTTTACTGGAGTCCTCAATGCCATCCACGATCCTGGGGGTAGAGCAGAGCTCGTCAGCACCATGGGGAGGGTGCAGGGCCCGAACAGAGCAGGCAGAAGGTGAATGAGGGTAGCAGAGGCAGAAAACTGGGGAAGAACAGTGGTCAAAGCGGAATGGGATTGCAAGCTGTGGTTGGAAAGGCAGGGTCAGCAAACGGGGCAGAGACAGTAAGGAGCACTGGTTGGAACGCTGGGAATGGAGCCCAAAGAAGGTTCTGGAAGCCAGCAGGGATATGAGAAAGGCAAGGAAGGCTGGCATCTCACCGGGGACTGAGGTCCGGAGGTCCAAATGTTCCCAGTGGGGGAATGAGGAGCTGGGGGGGCTTCCAGGCAGCAGAGCCCCTGGGGGGGCTGTGCAGGGAGGGACTTTGGCCCCGGCCAGCCAGGGCAGGGGAAGGGGACGGGGAAAGGGAAGGAGAGGAGACAAGGGCTGAGAATGGGGGCAGCTCCTCGCCCAAAAGGCTGACCAGGGACCCCCGAGGTCGTGCTGGACTGAGGTTGGGCAGCAGGAGGGGCCGACGGGGCTTGGGACCAGCCCCAGGCTCCATGCCACCCTCGGTTTCTGTGATGGAGGGCAGAGTCTTGTCTGAGGAGGAACCAAGAGTGTCGGAGCGTGTCTGTGGGACGAGAGAGCCCCAGTTGATACTGGGTGGTGGACAGTAGGACCCTTCATTGGGGTGCAACCCTCTGCACCATGCACTGCTCCCCACCCTCTCTTCCTTCTCCCTGTGGCAGGGCAGCTAAGGGAAGCTGCCCTCCTCCCAACCTCGCCCGATCCAGGAGTGAGTATTACCTGGGAAAGGCGAGGAGAGCGAGAGAAGCGGCTGAGGCCCTGTGGGGACAGAGTAGGGTTAAGCTGACTCCCACCTCTTCACTTCCCTGGTACAGCCCTTCCTCACTCTGCCAAACAGTGTTAAGGGACTGTGTACACGGGGCCTTTTCATGGAATTGAGCCAGACACCACCAACTCTAACTCAGAGGAAATTCAGAGAGACAAAGTGAACTCCCAAAGCAGCAAAAGACAAAGGTTTAAGGGTATAGACACATCAGCCTAAAACAAAGTTGGAAACAATGGGACAGCAGTGGAGGAGAGGAACCTCGGTGTGTGGGGTGTACCACCGGTTCACAGAGGGACTTCAGAAAGCTAGAATGGGGCTGAGAAGTTCTCAGCAATAGAAGCTCGTAAGAGATTGTCAAGGGTCTGGGTGAGGCCCAATGGGGGATTGGGTTGGAAGATGCTAAGAGTATATGAAGCATTAGAAGGAGGTGGTTGGCGTTAGAGGTGGTGTTTTAGGGAGGAGAGAGATGCAAGAGGCTCTCTGGGGCTGGAGGGGTTTTTGTGAAGGAAGTTCCCCTGGTGGGGGGTAGCAGCCATACAGTGTCTACATACATTGTTTTCGGAGCCTTGGCGCAGGTTGAAGGTTAGGTCCCGGGGTAGGCCAGCCCGGAAGGCAGCCCCATATTCCGGATACAGTCGCAGGACCTCAGCCAGACCTCGGCTGCTCAGCTGCTGCAGGCCACAGTAAGTCAATGCTTTCACATCGGCGCTGGTCTTCAACACGCAGCTGGGGCCTGCCCCTGGCCAAGGCTCCTGCCCCAACTCAGGGATGTCTGCCCCAATCAAGTCCCCCTTCCCTATGGGGAGAGGAAGGGGACAGTCAACTGGGATGAAGGGAACACAGGGTATCGGTGGGAAGTGGTCCAGATGGTTGGGAGATGGTCAGTATACTTAGGGATCGTTGAAGGCGAGTCAGTAAAGTGCATTGGAGAGAGGGAATCAGGGGGCTTAGAAAAGGTCATTGGAGAATGACTGGTGAAGCTGGGCCACAGCTACTGGGAGATGTCGACAGCCAATAGTACTGGAGGATCAGTAAATACTGACCAGAGAGTCAGTTAAAGGGTAAAGGTCAATGAATTCTAGGGTCACTGGGGAAGGGACGAGGGAACTGGAAGATGACGCAAAGGAATAGGATGAATTGGCTGAATGGCAGTCAATTGATGGAGGGCCAGTGGATTAAGGGGTGGCCAGAGAGGGGAAAGTAGGGAATGACCAAAGGGGAACCGTGATAGAGTGAAGGAATCAAGGACGAATACTCCCCAATAGGCATTCGAGGCACTTGCTGTGGGTCTCCCAATCCCTGGATCCAGGCTATTCCCAAGTCCTGGGGTGGGGGGAAGGTCTTAGGATGGGCAGTGTGTGGTGGTGGGGTTCTTACCAAGGATGGCCAGCACCATGTTGTCGCGGAGCACCTCAAGCGAGCCAGAGCAGACATAGTAGTGAGCCTGGAGGGCGTCCCCGCGGCGTAACAGATACTCCCCGGGAGCACAAAACGAGGCCTTGATGTGCAGGGAGAGGGCCCGCAGACAACCCCTGCTAGCTGCTCCAAACAGTGGCAGCTGCAGGATCTCCCGATTCAGGTGCATAGCAATGTCAGCCCGCAGCTCGTCTGGGAAGTCACGCAGTAACTGCATAAGAGGCAGAGGTCATTCTGGCCATCCCCCTGCAGTCACTTACTCGGATCTACAAATGAGGGGGGCTGTTCCCAAGGCAAGAGGGCCAACTTGCCCTCTCTTGGAAATTGCCCACTAGGCCTTTAGGAAGACTTGTCTAGTCTAAATCTTCTTTGCTGTCTTGATCACCAAATCTAACTTCTGGGCAGACCGAGTCTTCTTTCTCTCTGGGTACTGTACATGCACATGGCTACACACTACTGAGCAGCCCTAGATTCTGGTTGCTCAATTCTGTATGGTCGAGAGTTGTCCTTGGTGGGACTCCGACTGGGAATTGGGAAAGTAGCAATCATCTTTGCTTCTATGTTCCTGGGGACTTTGGACCCTCTATTTCCGGTCTCTAAGCCTCAGTATCCCTAACTGTAAAATTTAGGCTCATGCTAGGTCTTAAATTTTACCCGTTCTCTCTACATTTCCCTCCTAAGGTCATGGAGCCCCTCAGCAGTTCTGTCTTGCTGATATCTTCCTTATTGTCCCACCTGGGCCTCCCCCCACCAGTTTTTCCCCCTTTGCTTTTTTTCTCATTACTTCTCCTTGCATAGCCCATCATCCTCTCGACTCACTTCCTGCTTCTACATTCTCCCACATCATGGCTACCAGCCCCTGTCTTCCCCACTGCTCATGCCTGGAAGCCCTAATGTTGGGTTCCCATGTGTGTTTACAACTACCTGATGGACAAGCTGCCCGTGAGTTTCCTATAGACCCTGCATATGGCTATTGGCTCAGACCTGGACTCTCCCCTTCATCCATAATCTCAGACTTCTTCCTGGGGTACCCTCACCTCATCCCTTGACCCCAAGCCAGACCTGGGCATCCCTGTGAGCTGCTCTCTTGTAACCAACTGGAAATCGCCTGCTCTTGGGGATCATTTCCAGTCAAAAGGCTCCCATCCACTTCCTCCTCCACCTTCTGCCACACCCGGTCCTGGACGTCTGACAGAAAAAACTATAAACTCAAGGCTACCCACTCTCTGGGGCTGTCGTGCTCCAGCCCTAACTCTGGCCCTGGCTCCTCCCAGTACAACCTCCCCTTCTCTGAGGCTCACTCAACAACGTTCAGATCCTTGAACTCATTCGCTCAGCTTCATCCACACACACAAACCTAGGTTCCTATCACTCTTTTTTTGCCTGGAATGGCCTTCCCAAGGCAGACTGATTCTCTTGACCAAGATGTACCACTTTCTCTGCCATCTTCCTTGTCTTCCCTGGGCTCAGATGCAATGAGGGCCCTGCTGCAAGAATAGGGTTCCATCCGCTACATGTGTCTCTGTACCTGTCTCCCTCCCTCCTTTCTTGGGGTCTCTTTGAGGGCAGAAACTGTGGTGTGTCCTCACCTCTAGCTGCCCCCATCCTCCTCTGTGTTCAGACCCAGAGAATGAATGAAAAACGGTGGCTTGGCCCACGACAGGGCTGGGGGGAGACTGTGATGCCTACCATGAGGGAGAATCGGAGGCCCAGAAAAGGCAAGGTGTCCGCCCAAGTTCACACTCAATCACTATACTTCCTTTAAACCTCAAGGCTTAAGCACTAAAGGAAGGGTTTTGGATTTGGCTGGGTGCACGTCCTTGCTAAGAGCCCTGTACCTCCCTACACCTTGGTTGCCTCTGTACCAATCCTAGAGAGACAGTAGCCCCTCCCCACTGCACTGCCACGTGGCCAGAGCCCCAGCTCAGCACTACCTCGTTGGCATCGATGCCGCTGTTGACAGCCCACGTAGTCTGGAAGTACTCCAGCATGCGCTGCTTGAGTGGACGGGGCAGCCGGTGCACTCTGATGAAGTCTTTGAGGTCCTTCATGCGGCTGTGGTAGAGCGAGCGTCGGGAGTACATGCGCTGGATGATGGCCGTGACATTCCCAAACACTACTGCGTGCATCAGCGCTGCAGAGGTAGCAACCCTCAGCGTTATCAGGGGCGATCACCCCTCCCTTGGCTCCTCGTGCTCCCCGGATCACCCTGCCTTTGGATGGGTCTCAGAGGTTCTGGGGAGGCACAGGAGAACTAGCAGATTCCTGTGAGCACGTCATCTAGTCATCAGAGGCAGGGAATGTAGGTGGCAACCCACAGATGGGGCAACCTGTATTCCTCTCTCATCGCCTCCTTAGGTCATGACTCTGGGTGTCTCCCCTCTTGAAAGAGGTCACACCTGTTTATGCGCACAGTCACGTGCAATGGAGAAAGGTCTATGAATGAACACGTGACCATGTGGACTTGGGTGGGCACCTTGCTTTCTCCAAGCCTCAGTTTCCCTGTGGCGCAAGCCTGAATTTCCAGGGCTCCCTGGGAGTAGCGGGGTCTGGCCTCACCGCCTATGAGCATCGTGCAGATGGAGAAGATCTTCTCGGCATCAGTGTTGGCACACACGTTGCCAAAGCCCACACTGGTGAGGCTGCTCAGCGTGAAGTACAGCGCCGCGATGTAGGCACTGCGCCGAGACGGTCCACCTGCCGAGCCGTTGACATAGGGCTCCTCCAGCCGCTTGCCCAGCTCATGCAACCAACCTGTGATACGGAAGGATGGAGGGAATTAGGGCCAGCTAGACAGCGCTGGAGAATGCATCTCCCTGGTCTGCCTGTTTGACCTGGCATACATATTTACAGAGGAGAAGGGCAGTTTGCAGCCAAGGAGCTAGGAAATGGGCCATTCTGCTGTGCCTGGGCCTGGAGGCCATGAATTGGCTCTAGCTGCACTCCAAGGCTACCCACTCCTTAGACTGTCGACTGCAGGCCCCGTCAACGTCCTGGTATGTTACTGTGTGTTTCCTGTATGCGCTGGGGGTAGGGTGCCAAGATCTGACCCAGCCAGGCCTGCCTCCTGCCATCGCCTGTAAACAGTGTCAAGGAGAAAAGAAAAGACTATTTCAGGAGGGAGGCAAACTACGAAAGTAGAGTGTGTTAGAGGCCGCAGCAGGTTATTAGGGGAGTCAACGTGGATCCTAGGTACAACATTTTGGTTGAGGCTGAGACTATAGAAAATTCACCATGGGCCAGGTGGTGGCCCATGCTTTGGGAGGCAGAGGCAAATGGATTTCTGTGAGTTTGAGGCCAGCCTAGACTACAGAGCAAGTTCTAGGAAAACTAGGACTGTCACACAGAGGAACCCGGTCTTGAAAATAATAAATAAATAAATAAATAAATAAATAAATAAATAAATAATAAGGAAGGAAGGAGGGAAGGAAGGAAGAGAGAGAGAGAGAGAGAGAGAGAGAGAGAGAGAGAGAGATTTCACTATGGGGAAGGAGTGGGGCTTCCCAGGGAGGAACATGTTCAAGGCCCAGAGTGAGAGAGCAGTGGGTCAGGCCCAGGAGGGCAGTCGGTGTCCACAGACTCTACAGGAGGAAGTAAAGTGGTGGGGACACAGGTCAAGCAGAGCTGCCTGGGGCACATGACCACCAAGCATGGACTTCACTTTGGGGACAGTGGGCAGCTGGTGTAAGGGCCCAGATAGAAGCTGGGGGAAAGTCAGTGTTTATTCTCTTTAAAATTATTATTATAATTGTATTTATTTTATCTTAATGTATGCGAGTGTTTGCCAACATGTTACGTCTTTGTACCATGTGTCTGGTGCTTGCACAGGTCAGAAGAGGTCACTAGGTCCCTTCTGAGCTACCTATCATGTGGGTGTTGGGAACTGAACCCAGGTCCTCTGCAAAGTCAACAAGAGCTTTTAAACCCTCCAGTCTCTCCAGCTCTCTCTAGTGCTGATTCACGGGAGACCAGTTTGGCTGCAGCAAAGAAAGTGGTTGAGGGTGGGGATCGGAGGAAGACAAGGAAGGCCGTGCTGTCCTTTGTAGGAGTCATTGAGAGAGGAAGTGGGGTAGACTGGACAAGGTGGAGAGAAGATTCCAGATCTAAGTGGTGGGGGAAGGTGTGGGCTGAAGGAGGAGAGGGAGGGGCCAAGAACAGTGCCTAGAATCTGACCTACTTCCCGAGGAGACATTGAGGGCTTGGGGCTGCCTCCTGGCCAGTGGCCCCATTAACTGTGGCTAGGGAGGAACTGATGACGGCGGAGAGCCACAGAATAAGAGGCGTTTCGGAGCCTTGACACACGCTGCTCCCTCTGTCACAAATTCTCTCTCTCCATCAGCATGTCCCCTGCCACTGGCTGATTTTGGTCTCCTTCCCAGCTGGGCTGGAAGTTTCCCCCTAGCAGAGCCCTTCTCTTCAAACCAGTGTCTCCACCCTTGATCCAGAAGGAGCACAGGGCATTTTACTGGGTGGTTAGAGGACAATGGGATGGGAAGATGTTAAAGTCCTGGTGGCATCAGTTTGGGGGATAGGCCAGGTAGAGACGTCGCAAGTGGAAGTCTGGGACTGGTGGCTCACCAATGTCCCAGAGCAGCGGGTCATTAGCTTCCATCTCCCGGCGCCCGATGACATACCAGACGCAGGCCATCCAATGAGCAAGGAGAGCAAAGACGGACATGAGCAGCGTCAGCACCACCGCGCTGCACTGCGAGTATCGCTCCAGCTTCTGCAGCAGCCGCAGCAACCGCAGGAGCCGCACTGTTTTCAGCAGGTGTACCAGCGAGGTCTGCGTGTGGAGGGGGGCGGCGGGGGAGGCTGTCAGCAGGCACAACTCCCCAGAGACCTCATATAGCCCCCCCCCCCCCGCCACTGACACATCCTTCCCACCAGACACCCTGGAGCCAGGGGAAGCTGCAAGAAACTGTCACCGCTGCCCTTAGAAAGCAACGATAACATGCACCCGGAGAGAATAATTAGCTTAGCTACTGAGGACTTCTTTTGCATTGGGCCACCAGTACGCTAGGCATTTGTAATCCTCACGAAAACAAACAAAACAGCCTTGGAGCCTTCAGCCCAGTTACCATCCCAGGTCCCAGTTTGCTAATGAATGAACTAGGGCTCGTAGGAAGCTAGTAATGTGCTCCAAGGTCACAGACGAAGGAAATAAAGGAGCTATAACTCAAGTCCAAGATGACGGACACCAAGTCCATTTGGGACTGAGCTGCCTCATAGAACTATGGGATGATTCAGGAGCAAGCCCTGGCCAGAACCGGGAGGAGGAAGGGGGTAGGCTGGAATGATCTATTGAGGACCTCTTTTCAAAGCTCCAGTGTCCTAGGAGCGGCCAAGCAGGATTGGCACCTGGCATGGGAGAAGTGTAATGAAAGGAATGGGAACAGATAAGGAGCCTGAGGATGTCAAAGGCTAAGGGCTTTCCCCTTTGTAGGTCAGCTACAGGTGAGAAGGAAAACACAGCTTGAGGACACCTGCTTTGAGCTGGAGACTGATGGAGCCATGGTGTCTAGCAAGGACCCTGGAAACATTTGCTGTTTTTACTGCTATGGGGAAAGGAATGCAGGGATCAAACCCAGGACTTTATACATTCTAGACAAAATTTTTTTTCCCCTAAGCTATGAAACCATATCCCCGAATCTGCTGGTTTTGTTAGAATTATTAACACTTAAACTAGGCCTTCTAATATGGCAGACAAGGAGTGGGTTGGGGGTTTGCTTGTGCATAGGAGCAGCTCAGCAGCTAGAGCTGTAGGCTTGAGGGACTTGCTATAAAGCCCTCACCACACTTTCAGGGAGCTCCAGGGAGAACTGTACCCCAAAGCTCTGGCATTATGCTGCTCCAGAACCACCTTGTGGATCTCTAATGTTGGAAGGAGCTAGAAAGGAGGTGGCCCTGGTTCCCCAACAGGAACCCTTTGCAAGTCCTAACTAAAGTCTTAACTTTGAGACGTAGCACAACTCCCTCCAGCCCCAGAACATCTGGCTCCCAAACTTGAACACTCAGGGCTCCCCAAAGTCACTTATTTCTGTGTCCCATGCCTTTAAGGACCCTTCTCTCTTTGTCCCTCTGGCTAGAGCGCCATTGGCATGACTCCTGTACTCTATAACTCTTGTCAGTGCCTGCGCCTCTGTTTTGGTTCAAGCTCTCTCAGGCCTCCAGTGTGGCTGGTCATTTCCCCTAAGTCATCCATCTGGAGACCCTGGTTATCTGGGAAGCAGATTGTATATGGGAGAGAATCCTAGTCTAGGATTCTGGAGACCTAGTTCTCATTGCGCTTCCGTACCGACATTCAAAAAAAAAAAAAAAAGACTTAAGAACCTTCCCTAAAGGGTTTCGTATAATGACGTGTGCAAAAGTATGTGTGTGAAATTTTACTGAATCTGCAAAGTACTCCTAAAGGTACCAGAGGAGAGGGGACAGCCCGAGAGGAGGGGCTGGTGGCTCTCTGTAGCAGGCCCTCTCCTGTAAGGTAGACACTACCTGGTGGGCATAGAGGCATGGCTACAGGCCTAAGGACTAGTAGGAAACCCTTTTCTGTATGGTCAGTACCTCAGGGCAGTCTCTCTCTCTCTGTCTCTGTCTCTCCACACACACACATACACAAACACACGCACGCACACACACACGTGTGTAGCAGCATGCACACACATGTGCACAGCCAGTAGAAGGGGCCCACAGCCCGTTGGCGGCTAGTTAAATCCGGCTTCGTGTAGGTGGTTTCCTGCTATAGCTGAGTGCAGCAGGGAGCGCACACAGGAAAACTGCTCTCCACCTCTCCTCCCCGACAATGGCGAGGGGGCTTGGGGACACAGGGCAAGACTGCCTCACCTTGGACTAGAAAAGACCTTCTGTCTGTCTCCATCCTGACCCCTCAGGGCACTTCCAGGCAGTCCCGAGCAAAGACACAGGCCCAGATACACTACCCAGCCTCTGACTCGCTGGCTTGACTTACTATGCACTTTCTCTGGTTTCTCATCCTTTGCTAGCCAAATCCTGTTCACTCTTAGAGGCTTAGCTCTGCTCGCGCCTCCTCCAGGAACAGTTCCTTCCCAGAACACCTCAGCCCCTGCCCAACTGGGATGCTTCTGCCCCAGGGTGCTGGCCTGATCTCAGAATGTTTTTGCAACCTAGATCTCCAAGGCCAGTCCACGCTGCTATTGCCCACTCCCACACTCATTCAGCAGTCCTGCGGCAGATGTCCTCCTTCCATTATTCCTGCCTGTCTCACCAATCTGAGAGGGCCGGGAGTGCCAATTCCTTGTCTCTTTCTACCACAGTGACCAGGCCCCCATACAGTGTTTTGCAGACAGCTAAATGCTCATCAGTTGTTTGTGAAATAAAAAAAAAAAATGTGAAAAGTACCACTCATCTGGCATCAGACCAATGCCGCCTTGGTAGCCATAGTTAGCTTTTCGTTTGTCTCAGCTTCCCTCAAAGACTGTGAGCTGAGTTCTCCAAGAGCAGAGACCCCTTGGGCTCCTTCCCAGTGCCTGGCTCAGAGCTGTGCCCACGGCGGAATCAGAGAGACATCTATCTGTATGCAAGTTGATAGGAAGGACCGTGGCCGGGAGTTCAGATGCTAGGATGCATGGCGGGACGGGGCTCACTAACCACGGTGATGTTGAAGACATACAGCAGGTCAAAGGGCAAGGCAGCAATAAGGTCCACGAAGAACCAGGTGGCCAGGTAGTGGAGGCCGATGGAACGAGGAGCAGAGATCACCTGGCCCGACTGGGACACATAGGTGGTGCGGAAGTTCAGGATGATGTCTGAGGAAGGCAAGAGGCTGTTAAGAGGGACCATGCATGGCCTGGATCCTTAGGTCAGGTATCTAATGAACAGGGCAGGGTGTGCTGAGCACTGGAGACCCATAAGAGAGGCGGTGGAACGGAGAAAGCTGGGACTCTTGGCTGATCTATAGAGAGGAAAGGCCACAAGGCTGCAGGCTACAGGGGACTGGGCCCCATAGGACTTACAGGGTCTAGGGAGGAAGTGTTAGTAAGCCTCTTCCCCCTCCGAGGGCTTACTCACACCTCACTAGGCCCCTAGAACTCACAAAGAACTACAAAGAGAAGGTAAGACCCTTCCGAGCTAGGCAAGGGTCCCGCAAGCCCGGCAGGGAGGGAGGCTTGTTAGAGTGGGTCCCCATAGCCCACCCTCCGGGTTAGTAGGGCAGAGGGTCTGACCCAGGATGAAGAGCATCTCCACAGCGATGTCACTGACAAGGGTGTGTCGGGAAGTGATGGGGGTGTCGTCATCACCAGAGAAGCAGACGTTGTAGGGGACGGTGACCGCGACGTAGAACGTGGCGAGGAGGATGAGGCCATCCCAGATGGCCTTGGGGATGCTGTAGTGGAGGAGGAGGCAGCGGGAGCCCCCCACGGAGGCCACCTTGTACTCAGGCACTGATGGCTTTGGCTCAAACACGTTCTAAAGGGAGAGGGGTGGTGGTTGGGGACACTTGGGGGAAAGAAAAGTTGAGGCTGGGGGAAGGGAGAGTCAGGGGATAGGAAAACGGGAAAGGTGGGTATTGCAATAGTAGCCAGAAAGGGGATGGAAGATATGGGGAGGAGCTCTCAAGTTGGCAACTGGCACTTTTGTCTCTGTACCAAACTATTGCCCAGACTCTTTTTTTTTATTTCCTGTCTGTAGCTCTGGTTGTCCTGAACTAACTCTGTAGACCAGGTTGGCCTTGAACTCACAGAGATTCAGAGATTCACCTATCTCTGCTTCGAGGGCTGGGATTAAAGGCATTCACTACCACCAGCAGTAGCGGGTTCATTTTTTTTTTTTTTTTACAGCGGGCTCATTTTTGTAATTCTTTCTTTTCACTTCTTTCTTTCCTTTCTTGTGCTGGGGACTGAGCTCAGGGGACTTGTACTCACAAATCAGGCACTCTATCACTCAGTTAAATCTCCACAAAACACCCTCAGGCCCCTCCTGAAGAAAACATGCTTTATCAGATGCGTTTACTTGAATTGACCCTCGTCCTCTTTGAAGAGATTATGACAACCAGGAAGATATCCTAGCCTGAAGGGCCATAACTTCTTTGGAGTTCTTTCTGAGTATGACCCAGAGGGAGGAAGTTAGCCCTGCTGATCCAGACCCTATAGCCTTAACAGACTATGGAAGCTGGTGGGAGACTCCATCCCTTGTTCATCAGGATCCATAGGATGGGATGCTGGGTCCAAAACAGGGGCTTTCTTCCTAGGACCACAGCACCTTGTGAGTTTATCCCTCATGATACAACCTTACACTCAGGGGAAATGGGAATGGAGGAGGGATGGAGAGGGGGACATACGTGATGAAGCAGAAAGTAGCATAAGGGCCGGGCGGTGGTGGCACGCGCCTTTAATCCCAGCACTTGGGAGGCAGAGGCAGGCGGATCTCTGTGAGTTCGAGACCAGCCTGGTCTACAAGAGCTAGTTCCAGGACAGGCTCCAAAACCACAGAGAAACCCTGTCT